TAGTCAAAGTTGAACGTGCATTGCACGTTCTTCTGAAATGATTTGTAAGTACTGTTAAAGTAATATTTGACCTCCATTTATCATTTTGATCTAAATATGAGAAAAATGCAAGTCCTGAAATTAAATGTTAGTTATTATATATTCTTGTCAAAAGTGAAATACATAATTGAATATGAGTATTAGAAGTACAATTAAATGTATAAATGAAGATGAATGACAAATACGACACACAAATAAACGTGAATGTTAATTAATTTAGAACAACGCCAAGGTGAAAATAAATATTAACTCATTTATATTAAATAAATTAGTTTTCAATTAAGTGAAAATGGATGCTAATTAGCATATACGGCCGTAAATAATGAACTACATTCTTAAATGTGAAGTTTTAATTAATATTGATTAAATGAATATAAATGATAATTAATTAAGAATTAATTATTGTTTTAAAAATCGGATCGGTTTGAGAACTGGAACCAAAACCGGTTGAGTTAGGCTTATAAAACCCTTAATTAAAAACTCATCCCAAAACCCGTTAAATCAAACGGTTTTAGAAAAACTCGGGACCCGTTCTCGGTTCAACCCATGTATAGGTATATTTTTTTATTTTTGTAAATGTATATTTTTTATTTTTAAAAAAATTATGATTCGATCCCGGTTCAACCTTTTGAATCATGGCCCTTTCTCTTTCACGTTGGATGAAAGTAAATCCTAATTAATATTAATTAAATAGATGTGAATGTTAATTAATTGAGAATTAATTATAATATTTATTACAATTTGCAAATTAAATACATATTAAAAACGAAAAATAACGTATTATAGTATTGTATTATTAAAATAATTGAATTTCAGTAGTGTTATAATTATTCATAAAATTATTCTCATTTGATGTAATATTTATTATATGGATAATTGCAACAGCGGTCCCAAACCTATCACTTTTTGCAAACTTTGTCTTAATCTCCTCTTTTTGTCATCCACAGTCTCAAAACTTTCAAAAATTAGCACATGGGGTCCAAATGAATTATTTCTGTTAGTTTGACCGTTAGTTGACCAAGAATAATAGACTTTGTCCAATTTTGACAAAATTAAAAGGACAAAATGGTAACTATTTTCTCATTAAATAAAAAAATAAAAAAACAAAAACACCTCTCTTCCCTTCCCAGACAACACTGCCGGCATATTACGGCACCACCGCCTCTGCACGGGCACCACCACTGCCTCTGTGTCGGCGCCACCACCCCCTCTGTGTCGGCGCCACCACCCCCATCTCCTTCCCCAACCACATTCTCACCAATTTTCTCCAAAATGCCACCACCATAATCAAACCAAAACAAAACACCTAAATCTAAAATTTTCTCAAATATTCAAGTCTTGTGCCAAAGCGAACCACCATTGCCTATGTACCGATTTGAACTTTCAAGTCTTGAACAACCACGCTCAATAGCCAACTAACACATTTGGAAAAGGCGTCAATGGCTGACTCAGGGTTAAACCTAGATGAACGCACAGGAATTTCGATGTGAGTTAAACGATTGGATGAAACCTGGGGCTATTCTCGCCGCTGGTGAGTAGCGGCGACTGTGTTGTTGGTTTGAACACTGTCATCTTGACCGTCAGATAGTAAAATAATGCTTGCAATTGGGTTCGCCACCGAGCCGTCATTCTCCTCAGCGGCATGAGCCTATAGCCGCACGTTGGGCTAGGTCCAGAACGTGGGTCTGTGGTGGCGGA